AGTACTCAGCAACAAAGTAAACGACCCAGTTCTCATTAATATGGAAATAATGGGTGCAAACTTAACAGATGTCAGTGTGATTGTTGACAAAGGGAAGAAATCCGCGGTATGAGATGAAGTTAGATCAGTCATTTTGATGCGGTGCCCGAAAGCCACTTGCAGTTCCTCGTGTGATCTAATCGGTGACTTAAATGAATGCCAGGGATCTCTGAAGAAAGACACCCCTTTCATCTTGAAGAGTGAATATCGACAAAACTTCGGTCGCCAGAATTTCGAAGAATCGCTTTCAGTCTAGTGAGGGCGGTAGGAAGCCTTTTGAAATGTCGTATGTGAAAACAATTTTAATAGGAAAATCACATTCTGTCGAGTACAATACTGCTTCAGGGAAGCTAGAAAGTACGCACTTAAACCTGGTGTGTGCTAAGCATGACCGGAAATCACGCCGATTAACAAATATTCCAGCTGGTATCGCCTCCCCCAAATTTACATAGGATTTCCACGCTTCTCAACATAACACATACATCCAGAACACATATCAGACTGGAATATGCAACCTGTTTTCATTGTGGCTCACAAGTCCTGCACGAAAGCCAGCGATGTCTGCACATCAAAACTCAAACTTGGATCTAAAATTTCGCAAGAGGCCATCCTGAGATGCATATCTGTTTTACCATTCATCAGCGGTCAACTGTCTAGTCTGATGCCTAAATCCTCTTATGACCTGTTAACATGAAATTTCAAAATGCGATAAGATGCATGGGGGAACTGAGTAAGTTACAGTAGCACGAATGATGGTTTGGATAAGTGTCGTCAGAATTACTTGGAGCAACAAAGGGTGTAAGTTACTCCTGCTGCATAAATCAGTACGGAAGGCAGCAAACTGTTATCACTGCAGGTCTTACCTGTCCTGCTTGACGATGGGACTGTTCATGATACACGGTGATACAGATCATGACCAGACAGCTAGATGGCGTCATGCAACAGAGTCTCTTAAGGCTCTATAAATTTACGTGTTACTTCGCTTCCAGCTTCACAGTATGATAGTTCCACTGTTCATCAAGTGAGGCATTAACTTCTTGAAAAAGGACAATGAAGAGCAATACAGTGGACAAACTGTCTTCGGTATAAGACACTCAGCGGCCAGACAAAAGATTTAGGCCTCTGTGTACTTAGTTACCTCTGTCTCAGGTGCCACCTAATCACTAACTACGAGACTAAAAACAAGCAGGTCACTCGAGTGTAAAGGTACCAGTCCATGTGTTCTTTCTCGACTTTGCGAAAGCATTCGACACAGTTCACCATGGTCTGCTCCTTCACAAAATAAGCAAAGCGGGTGTTTCTGGAGCACTTCTCGCATGGCTGGAAGATTATTTAGGCGAGAGAGAATTCTGCACCAAAGTCAATCGCATCCAATCATCCTGGCACACCTCGGCATCAGGGGTTCCGCAGGGTTCTATCTTAGGGCCGTTGATGTTTTTGATTTTTATCAACGACCTGCCCTGTCAACTGAATTGCTCTGCGCTTCTTTACGCTGACGACGTAAAGATTTGGAGAGCAATAAACTCATTGGAAGACTCCGACAGATTGCAGGCTGACGTGCAAACTCTGGGAGACTGGGCTCTGGCTAACAGAATGCCTTTCAACTTAAAGAAGTGCAAAGTAGTGCAACTTCATTCCGGCAGGTCACAGAGTGCAAATTACACCCTTTGTGGCCAGAACTTGAGTTGTGTGCCATCAGAACGCGACATAGGTCTTATTTTAACAGAAAAGCTAGACGCCAGTGTAAATTACACGAGGGACGTCGCCAAAGCTTATGCCACTTTACACTTTATGCATAGGCAGCTGGGAGCTCCTACTCCTGAACTATTCTTAACGTTGTATACGACATACGTGAGGCCACTCCTTCAGGTGCATAATATCATTGCTCTTCCGCTACTCAAAAGGGATGCTAACATGCTAGAAAGTGTCCAGAGACGAGCGACAAAATGGGTGATCGGCCTCCTTAACAAATCATATGAGGAAAGACTGAAGAAATTAAGTCTTTTCACACTTAGTTACCGTAGTCACAGGGGAGACCTCATCACCGTCTATAAGATCTTAAATGACCAGGCCCACCCTAATAAAAACATCCTGCCATTAAGTGATTACAGGCTTCCACGAGGTAACCCGCTAAGGATAGCACACCAGAGACCAAGGACTCGAGTGCGTTCACATTTCTTCTCGCTTCGAGTTTGCCGTCTCTGGAACGCTTTACCGGCGGCCGTAACTACAATTCCATCTGTGGAGACTTTTAAGCGGAAGCTGGACAATCATGCACAAATGCATGGTTTGTGTAACAATGGCTCTTAAAATTTGAAACCACATTGTCAATGGATAAGCATACAAGCTAAATCCCCACGACTCGTTCTGTCTTCTCCCACTGTACCGACTACTCTATCTTTTCTTTCCTTCTTTATTATTTCACCCTTATTATTTCACTTATCTCAACCTATATTATCTACACTACAACCTATTATTATTACTATTCTACTTTTATGACTATACCTAATGACCAACGGGTGTTAGGTCAAACTCCATTCACGGCAGCAGCTGAGTCCTAACATACTACACACTACAAACCACAATCTTGACCAATCCTCGCACCACTCCTCTTGGAGTCTACCAGAGCTAAGGCAGTCGAGTGGCGGGATTTACTACGCATAAGTTCACCGAAGATCTGGAACCTCTGCCTTACAATCAAGAAGCGAGCTCAAAGAAATCACTGGTTTATACTAGCTCGTAATCAGGATATTGGATATTGGAGTGATTGGCTGTCATGGCCTTCAATGTAGCAGCCCACCAAGAATCAAGCATTAAAAAGCTGAGATTTGAATGCACTACCACTTACCTTAGCTTCCGCATTGTCAAACCCGGAGTGCACTGCCAGCAGTCACTAGTGGCGTACTACCAATGGAAATCTTTAGTCAGCAGTTTCATGGTTATGCAGCAACTCTCCATTTTCAAACCAGTATAGTGTGCTGAATATGATTCCGATTATTATAATATAGCACATCCACGTCTTCACGTTCTAAGATGTGCCTATGCTGTGCACGGCCAAAGACCAACGTTGTATTAAGAAGTACAAGCGGCAAATACTCAACAAGCCTATGTAAAATTAGTTTCTGTGAGCGCATAACATGCGTACATGAATCAGTTTTATAAGCGTACAGTTAGAGTTAACATAGGGGGGCTACACCAGTACCAGTTCACACGACCGGTGCAAATAACAGTAGTTTCCAACTAAAATCCGTCAACTAGTATCTTTCCTACTCCTTCGTAACCATTTTCAGCTACATCTACAATTGTGCCACGATTTTGGTAGTGAACACTAGTGTTCTTTCAAAATTAAGCAGTTGCAAGGAGTTATCAGCACACATAGCCGGCCCTTTGACTACGATCTTCAAGCTTTCTCTCCAAAATGGAGTGTTACCGCGTGACTGGAAAGACGCCATAGTAACCCCCATCCACAAAGGAGGATCAAGACAAAACCCTTCAAATTACAGGCCTATCAGTCTCACCAGCACTTTAATTAAGACACTGGAGAGAATCATCAAGAAAAGCATAATGGCATATCTAGAAAACAGAAGCTTATTATCAAGAGCACAGCATGGCTTCCGAAGGAACCTCTCATGCCTGTCAAATCTTTTCACTGCAAGAGAAAGCTGGGTTAAATCCAGGGACAACAGAAGACCCGTTGACGTCGTCTTCATAGACTTCAGCAAAGCCTTTGATAAAGTACCTCACAAAAGACTACTCATGAAGTTGGAAAGTCTTGGTATCAAAGGCAGCTTACTAAACTGGCTCAGGGAATTCCTCATAGATAGGAGGCAGAGGGTTAGGATCAACTCGAAACTCTCCTCTTGGACAGCAGTACGCAGCGGAGTGCCACAAGGCACGGTACTTGGACCTCTCCTATTTATTTTGTATATCAATGAGTTATCTCTACTCACCGATTCCCCTATGGTCCTATACGCAGATGACTTAAAAATTTGGAGAGAGCTGAAGGGCAACAGTGACACGTCCACGTTGCAAGAGGACCTCAACAAATTGTCAGAGTGGTCCATAGAATGGATGCTCCCGATAAACGTGACAAAATGTGCAACCATGCGCATTGGACAAGCAAGCACGAGCTCTTATGAACTAGAGGGAATTACACTTCCATCAGTTCAGACTTACTTGGACTTAGGTGTCATAGTTAGCCACGACTTAAAAACTACAGCACACTGTCGCGCGGTGGCTGCACGTAGTTTCAGGTCATTATGGGCAATTCGTAGAGCCTTCACTAGAATCACCAGAGATATGTTCACCTCCTTATATACATCCCTGGTGAGGTCAAGACTGGAAAACTGCATCCAGGCCGCCAGCCCTTGTCTAAAAGGGGACTCACTTATTCTAGAAAGGGTTCAACGGAAAGCAACACGTATGATTCATGGCATGACTAACTTATCATACGAGGAAAGACTAGACAGTTTAAATCTCTTCTCCTTGTCATACCGTAGGCAGAGAGGAGATTTAATCACAATGTTTAAAATTTTAAATAATGACTACGGACCTGACCTATTTTCTCTTTTCCTTCCCACCAGGTCGGAACACCTTAGAGGACATAGCAGGAGAGTTCAAAAGCCAAGAAGAAATCATATTGCTGTTGAGTACTGGTTCTCACACAGAGTCATAAACTCTTGGAACCGACTCCCAGAAGAAGTGGTGTCTGCAACCTCAGTTGATTCGTTCAAGAAGGGTTTAGACAACCACAGAAGTTTACTAGAAAAGGATTAACATAGGCTCCAAGCCTTCTATCCTCAAACAATAAATCTGAATCTGAATCTGCCTTCATCCCTGTAGTTTCATGAGAGCTGTGGCAGGAAGTCAGAGGAATCAACCGCTTTGAAATTCACTGTAGGTCGTAAACCATTTTCTCACCATCAAAATCAAGCTTGAATTTGTTACACACTAGCTTATGAGAAAGGTATTGAAAGGCCGAGATACGCGTCAATTCTGTAGCTCCTTCAAATAAATGCGGTACTTTTCGACCTGATGGTTTCTTGAAGTATTTTTACATAATTAGTATAGAACGGTAGTAGTTCAGTTTTGCTAAACTTCTTATATCAGTAAAGGGTGCATTAAAAGTGATTTAATGTTTTCGAACCAACGAACTGCCAAGAAAACAAAATATCCTTTTAGGGAGACATATATATCCTTGGTGTTTGCATGTGTTCGTAATGCTAGTATTTTCGTACAAATGTTAATAACTCCATGAATTCATGAGTAGTGCTTTTTCGCATTGAAAAATACAGCCAAAATTAGGGAATCGACACGGCTTAATGCATAGTTATTGCATCCGTTATAGCGTAATTTAAATCTGATCTCTCATATCCACTAAACCCTATTGATTTTCCATGTCAAATAAATTTATTCGGCAAAACCACATAGTGGCACACTGTTGTTTGCTGGTTATGTCTCGTGCACAATTTATTGCTTGTAATCATATCAAGCTGCCTTAATGTCGAATACATTTAATTTATGGTAGAATTATACTCTATCAGTATCCACGTCCTATTTTTTATATCTGTTACTATTACTATTGACTATGTTTTCACAATAAATGTTCCTGTTGCTTTGTCCTTTATAACCAGTATATATGTTTCATCAATAGGTTCCTCTACTGATTGAGGGAAAAGAAATTAATATATATTTATGCTAGGATGTGTGTAGGACTTTGTTTTATATTCAGTTCATTGGTAATAGTGAGGCAACGGCAGTCTGTAGAATGTGTCATGCATAATTATGTATCCTAACGTCATTTCTACGGTCTTGCCGTGCTGTGATGCATATGGAATTTAATCACTGAATTGTTGTCATTAAATGGTTGGAGACAATCGATAGGAGGTCTTGGGTGTCGTACTTATTGGGAATCACTAGTCAGCGGGGCGTACCTGCAATCTTGTAGGAACTGATGTCCCTTCTGACATTCTAACTCGTGTCACCCATTGCAGCTATCAGAGTTGTAATCACGGTGCTATTCGGATTGACTTGTTACCAGGCAATATTCTTGTTGACTTAGGATATGCGGATGATATAGTCTTCCTACGTCAAGAGGCTGGTATAATGCAGAGTCTTTTGAACGTCTTAATCATAAATCCCCGAATGTTTTCGATATGATTTGCTCCTGTCAAATGTAAAATGATGCTACAGGACTGGATTACATCGACTTCTGGCTTAAAGATATAGAGTGAAGTGTTGAGGCGTGTTAACCACTCTACTTATTTGGGTAGTTTAGTCTACACTAACGGATTGGTTGATGACGAAATCTCAGCACGGATACAAAAAGCTCATGTGGCATTTGCCAACCTACGTCATCTCTGGCGTAAACGTGATATGTAACTATCGATCAAAGGAAGTGTGTACTGTGCAGCAGTACTGTTAGGAGATATAACCATTGAAAGTGAAAGCTAGAAAAAGGCTAGTTATCTTTAACCATAAGTGTCTGCGTCCTATCTCCCGTGTTAGGTGGTATAATAGGGTGAGTAATATTGAGGTTAGGCGTCAAGTTTCAGGTAAGGACCGAAAGTCGGTCAATGAAGTTGTGAAGCTACATAGATTGAGATGGCTAGGACATGTGTTATTCATGCCCAAATATAACTGTCCTCGACGGACAATGTTAGTTGACATAGGATGAGGTTGGAAAAGAGCTAGTGGTGATCAAACGAAAACTTGGAAGCAGTCCGTGAAATCTTTCACAGCTAGTTTGAATTACGTAGGAAGGTGTAGACTGTCTGGGTGGAGTCTTCGGAATAGTTGGAGACAATTGGTGATCATGGTGCAAAATCACTGTCAATGGCTCAGATGCATTCAATCATTTTAATCCCTCATATCCATTAAACTTTATTGATTTTTCATGTAACTATTCTTTCCCGTGTACATTTATACTTGTCATCGTTCTTTTGAATCTCTTTACTTCTCTTCTGTCTTCCTTTGTATGCTCTATGGAATGTTCAAAGTCCTATGTTGAAACCAGTCAGTCAGTAATGAAACTTAAGCGGCATGCAACATCCTCCATGACGACACTCCTTTTTGAAATATGCTGACTCATCTAGAGATGTGTCTCATTGGCTTAACCACTCGACTTGCATTCGATAGATTCAGGATCCGAGTCCCGCTCCACTGAATTCGGCCTGGACAGGTGGAAAGTATCACCAACCCTCACGTAGTATGCAGGACTTAGCCTGATAAAATACATGTCCCGGGTAACTGGATTCTAACTGAATTAAAGCAATTCACCACACAAAATGCTTCATCTATGTAATCAAAAGTCGTAAATCTTTTAAAATTAATATGTATTATTGATATAATACTCACCTACGGCTTAATAGTAATAACGAAGAACAAAACAGTTTCATTGGAAATCATAAGTCACAAGGAGTGGATGCATCTGCGCCAGACATTGAGAACGATTTTGAGCCATATCACCAATTGTTTCCAACCATTGGTTTTTACCGTCCCGAGGACCCCAACCAGGAAGTCTACACCTTCCTACGTGGCTAGCTTAGACTAACTGTTGTAGATTTCATTGACTGGCGAAGCCATGTTTTCGTTTGACCGCCGCTAGCTCTTTTCCAGCCTGACCCTATATCAGCTAACATTGCCCGTCGAGGATGGCGATGGTTAGGCATACGTAACACATATCCTAACCATCTCAGTCGATGTAATTTCACAGTCTCGTCGATTGATTTCCCCTCCTTACCTAGCACTCGACCGTAGCCTAACCTCAATATTGCTCACCTTATTATACCACTTCACGCGGGAGATAGAACGCAGACACCTATGATCGAAGACAGCTAATCTTTTCATGTCTTCTATTATTACTATACCTTTGTCTCACACCTCTGTTCACTGTCTCTCTCTAATATGCATTTCTCCTACTTTCTTCTCTTGCTTTGTGTGCTGAGTGAAGTGTGGCGACTTGAAATGCCGCACATATGTGCAAAGTTCTATGTCGAAAAACAGACAGACAGACCTACGGCTTAATACATTATTCTGTCTGAATTCAGAGTAGTTTGTGAAGCTTGGAATGGCCATTAATGGGTTAAAACATGCTATTTTCGTGATTGAGATCAGTTATTTGTATGTATTTATATTTTAATGTAGGGGAGTTCCCTCTGGTACTCTGACCTAGCACGACCGTTTCAAATTCTTAAGCGTTATCCAACAGTCTAGTGATACATGAGTTTTTGTGGATAGAATATCACTTGAACACTGCATATATGTCTATACTCGGTTCTAAGTACGCATGTAGAATATCTGAAAGATAATAGGATCATATTCTCTCCTTGTCAGAAATGATGCATCAGTTAATTAATAGCAGTGAAGCTTCTGGTACATCCTTAAATGACTGCTTAACTTTTCATGATTTCATAAGCAGATGTCGTAAACAGGTCTGTGAGTGTGTAACATCGTGCCGCATACTAGACATTTGTTCCTCTTACGTAACACACTTCATTCATGTCCACCGATGCGTATTAAATAATAATTTGGCAGGTTCTTGCAGGGTGTTGTAATATTCTGTGCCACGCCGTGAGAATATTGGAAATGTCAGAACAAGAAAATCTCGGAGGTTTAAGGGGATTTCAAACCCGATGTTTAATAAATGTGATTTTTGTATTTTCGACAAATCATTAGTAACCAGTTCGTATTTAACAAGTGAAAAAACCTCACCAAGGCGACAGGTTAACTTCAAATGTTTATGAAAGCAGATAACTAGTTAGCTTTGTTTTATGATTTGTTCATTAGCTTAAACGTTGTGTTGGGTATTAATTAGTTAGATGTGCTTGAAGATTTATTTCTTTGGGTTTTTTCAGTGTAATCTATTTTTTTCTTTTGTAGTGTTCTGCAGAATATCTGATTCTCGGTGTTTGCAGTTGTTTACTCTGATTTGGAAATTTTTCAAAATTCTCCTCTCTACTTGATCTAACTTGTTTTTGACTCGAGAATCTTGTGATGTTTACACCACTGTGTGACTCTAAACGTATACTATCAAGTGCCTGGATTATCAGTCAAAAGTTACACACAGGTAGCATAGTCTGCAAAAATAGTAGAGTTGGTGTGGTACGTAGAACAAGAGATTGTTCCATGCCTCAGACGTATGAACAAACAAAAAAGCCACATCAGATAGGTTTAATGAAATCATGGAATTCTTGGAATACGTCAAATTTAGATGGAGAAAAACGTTACACTGCTGAAGTCACACTTCACGATCAGTTTATTCGGAAGTTTATCAATGGAACCTTTCCTTTAATGGTTCAAAGTGAGGTAAGAATTCCCAAGCGCGTTTTTGTATTTACCTGATATGCCGTTTTGTGTATTTGTTTGCCATACTCTGAGGAAACCATCAAGTGACATCACTAGACAAGCCCTTGAGTGGAACCCGAAGGGGAAGCGGCGAGTTGGTCGTCAGTGCAAGGGTGACTTGGAGGAGGTCATGTGAAGAGGAGATGAAAACGTGTGGGCAGACATGGAGCCAGGTGAAGACTCTAGTAGAGAACCGAACGCAATGGAGACGCACGGCTGAAGCCCTATGTTCCTCTAGGAATTAAAGGATACAATAATATAATAATAATTAGTTATTCCCTTGGGTTCTAAGTGGAACATAAGGCTTCAACAGCATATCTCTGCTTCATCGTGTTCTCTGTATTCACCTTTAGGTGGCTCCACGATTATCCATAAGCTCTCATTTCCTTGCATGATCTCTTCTCTGTCACTCTAGATGACCCATCTCGTCGTCTCCCATGCGGGTTCCACTTGAGGGCTTAGCGTGTGATGTCACTCAACAGTATCGTCAGCTTTTGTTTAATCCATCTCCATTTCCTTCGGCATATTTATTGGGCGACAGGTTCTTGGTTGGTTCGTTGGTCCAGAGTTCCCTGTTTACTAATCCTTTCTGGTTGGCCGTCTGAATTTTAGTATCTAGTGAAGGTAGCTGTAGGTAAAAGTCTTCACTAGCCTGTTGGAAATGCTTCTCATGACGCTCCAGTTAATGAAATCCATAACAGTTACTTTAAGCCACATCGAGAGATGTAGACTTCCTGACTGGTTGGAGTCCTTGGGATGGTAAGAACCAATGGCTGGAGACAATTGGTGGTGACATGGCTCAAAGTTATCGTTGTCAATGGCACAGATTTGTTCACTCTTTGAGATTTGCCATATCCAGTAAAACTCTATTGTTCTTCTTCCATATTAGTATTCTTTTTCGGTCACACTTCTGTTTATTATCTTTCTTTTGAACGTCCGTTTAACTCTCTTGCTTTGTGTTGTACATGGAGTGTGGCAACTCAAACTGCTGCACATCTATGCAAAGTTCTATGTTGAAATCAGTTAGTCAGAAGTACTGACTTGACGTTATCCTTGAAAATCTGAATCTTTTTCTTCATACACTGATTTCAGATCAATAAAGACCTGTTTTGTCTTTAAGATCCTGACTTTGATATCCTCATCCGTTCTTTCTGTAGTTGAAACGGTGCTGCCACTGGTGGTGATTGGTGCTTGCTGTTAGATTTATTTACTTTCTCGTACAGAAATTAATTGCATCATCATATTGGTTACCTCGTTTTTTTAATCTTACGTTCAATTTATTAACTGTTATTTCCCTATATTTTGCAATGCATTTGATAATTTGTATGCAACGTTTGCAGGACAACAATGTAAATGGTAAAAAACACGTATCATGATCACCAGTAATAATACCAGCGGTTAAGTAAATATGAACTGTAGTCAATACTGTACATTTTAGATTTATGATAGCAATCACTTCTACCTATTTTCTCTTGCCGAACTAACTACAACTTATGGGAAAAAGGTAGAATGTGGGTCGTAATGTTGAACAAACAAGTTAACGGAGAAGATTTGTAGCTCAGGTGGATGATTTTAATTTGATTGTGTTGTCTGGGCTGGTTGATTTAATTGCGAAGCTTTCATTGTCTCCCTTCAAGACAAAATCTTCAGCGCAAGCTTTAATATAAAGTGAACTTATTTAAATTCCCCATGAATGATACAATTGCATTTACTAACAACTATTGTTGTGATTGGTTGTTAATTTGCATTGATCATTTTTATTGACTTGGAATCTGAACCTTCCTGTTACCTAACTTATTTTCCGTTAGTTGGTAAGTTTGATCTATAGTAAGTGAAGTGTCCGTTAATCGCTGATTCATCTGAGTACCAGGCTTCTAGAAATCCCCTGACAGCTTCGATGTTTCCTTTGTTTAAAATTTCTACATTCTCCCAGTTAAATTAGTGTACATATGAAAGGAAACATGTCTGTTCTGCTGACAGCTAATTCATATTCTTGGATTCTTAGTCGAAGGGCATGCCCACTTTGACCAATGTAGTGTTTATCACAATTTATGCAATTTATTTTGTATATAGTATTGATCTTATTTTCTGCTGTTGGATGCTTTGGTCTGCACAATATTGAATAAAGTGACTGTGGTGGCTTGTGTGCCGAGTCTATTTCATCAAATGGTGTAACAACAGAAGACAAGGGCCAGGCAACAGGTCGTTTATTAAAGAAATCAGCACATATTTATAGTAGATTGAAAATCCCCATTGAGTCATATGAAAGAGAGAAGACATTCAGCGAAGAGACTCTTTTCGTCGAATTCATTCTCATAGCTGTACAATCGCATTTATATATAAATATTTGTGTGTGTGTGTGTGTACATGAGGTTTGTCAAGTTTAGATAATTGATTAGTTAATACAAGATTGACGTAGTATAGAGACAAAGTTAATCAGACAGCAACTAAAGTAAGATTGAGTTAAAAAGCTAGATGACGTAATATAATTGGCTAAAATGTTACAACTTAGGTCAGGATAGCAACAGAGGTAATTACAGGTAGAGATTAAGTAGAAATGAAATTGAGTGAATAAGTTGGATGACGTAACATGAATGACTAGAAACTGAGCGTTGTTCAAGTCAGTAACAGTGGTAGTGAGGTGTAGAAATTGAATCGGGTGGGGGTAGAGAACAAGAAAGTTGAAAATGTAAAATGTTACAACTGAGAAGACAAAATAATACTAATGAAGAGACAGAAGAAAAGATTAGGTAGAATTTACATGTCGGCTAATAAGATAGATTACGTCCATTGCAAGTGTAGTGATTGAACGAACTTCTTCTGTATGCAGAGTTCAGGACTTAGCAAGTGAATCGCCATTGCTTCTGCAGTTTGAAGAAGTCTGATTCGTACACCTTTAGGGAGACTACTTCTTACTCTGTAGACGACTTTGAAGTTTGTTTGCGGTGTAGCTTGGTGTCCGGATTCTATCAGTGTTCTAAGATGGAACTGCGGGGCATCGATTTTCTCCTTTGTAAAACCATCTTGTATTAACTAATCAATTATCTAAACTTGACAAACCTCATGTACACACACACACACACAAATATTTATATATAAATGCGATTGTACAGCTATGAGAATGAATTCGACGAAAAGAGTCTCTTCGCTGAATGTCTTCTCTCTTACATATTTATAGATTTTCATGTAAATATTATAGATTATTTTTAGCAGAAAAGCACAGTCTTTTGTTCGGTGGTTTCTCGCTGAAAGTTAGTCTTTCATCTCTGTGTGGCTGTTTCTTGAATGTCAGATCATCTATATGCTAAGTGTATCCGCCTACGCAAAGTCTGCTGTGGTTGGTTGTTGAATCAGTCTTTGTTCATATTTTTCTCACGACCAATATTGAGGATGTGAACATTGACGTAAATTACTGTCTACCAATTCAGCTAGCAGCCAGCTGTCACCACAATGCTTTTAGTATTCTGGGGATTATTTCAGAGATATTCTTTATAAACAGCAGAATGAATTTTTTTGTGTTCTTTGATGACTGTTTCCTGTTGGTATTCGGGTTTGAGTATGAACATTTTTTGATGAAATCGTATGAATATTCACTCTTCTTGAAGACGGTTAGTAGATTTTCTTCTTCCGTTCTTTTCAGTACTGGAGTGCATTACGGAGTGTTTGAACTCTTTTAAACAATGTTTGCACACAGTTTGTTTTATGAGTCATTGGATTACTGCTATTATAGTTGAGTATTTGATATGTATGTGTGTGTGCGTTGATTTTCTATATACTTGTGTTTCCGAATTTCCTGTGTTAGTTCTCTTGATTGAGACATCTAAGAATAGAATTTAGTTGTCTTATTCTTCTCCGTGGTTTGAATGTCTTCAAATATGTTGTTGATTATCTTGTGGGTATAGTCCAAATCATTCCTTTTAATTATTACAAATGTATCACCAACATAAGGTGCCCAGATTTTCGGTTTGATTACTGGTGGTAGAGCAATCAATGCTAATCTTTGCATAACGGCTTCATCTATTAATCCTGATATGGTCGATCCCATTAGTTTGATTGGGCACTAGTAACTGGTGTGATGTGTCTAGTCCTTTGTTTGGTGCAGATTGAATTCTATCAGTCAGGTTTGCATTATGTGACCACCATTCCAGGTGGCTTACCGTCACGATTCACTGTGAATTGTTGGTATTAGATGGTTGCAGGCAATAGGCAGGAAGCCTTCCACCTAGGTTTCATGCTAGTTGGCACTCGTCATCAAGGCGTTACTAGTGTCCAAGTATCCAGTACAGTCATACAGGAAGTTAATCACGGGGCTGAATAGCTCAGTGCCGACATCTCTGACTGCAGCACTGGGTGACTCAGGTTTGAATCTCAGAAGGGACATGAGTTTCTTCAAGGTTGCATATACGCCTTGCTGACTGGTGATTGCCAACTAGTAGGTAGCCTAGGTCAGGCTGGGCTTCCTGTTGATTGCCTCCAACCATCTAAGATCCCACTGGTGTTCATTTTATCTGTCCTTATATCTGTTATCTAGAAAGATAATGAAAGCTTTGCAGTTAAATCAACCAGCTCAGAGAACACAATCAAATCAAAAAGAAGTTAACGACTCAACTATTGACTATTGTCTATAAGTGATTACTAGATGTACATATTCTCCCAATACTACTTATTTGAAAGTTTTACTTTTTTCCTACTTAGTGTAACTACTTTTTTAAACAATTAATTTTATTACAGGTTATTATTAAACGACAATGGAATGTGATACGTGTAGCTTTCCTGCTTCATCCACGATTGACACCAGGAGAAATTAACTTCCTAATTGGTTATACAGAAGAAATGCTTTCCCTTATACTTCGATGTATTGTTAAATTAGAAATTCAATTGATCGCATCTAAGAAGGATGTAATATTTCGTTATGTTTAATATATACTGGAGACAATTGCCTTCATTTAGCTTCTTTGTATATAGAATATATTAGACAGAAATAAACAAAAAATATGTGTACAGTGTATCAATAGCTAAAGTGTTTTTCACCTGCATGCTTGAATCGTTTTTCTATCTTTAGAGGGTTTCAAATCAATCTTGTTTCTAAAAGATCACCATTTAAATTCAAGGGGTTTACAATAATTTTTTTGGTTCATTTCTCAATGATTTTAGCATAGCGTAATTATAACTGTGTGTGATAAGATGTGAGTTCTCACATTAATTCTTTTTCGGTTGGATGGGAGCACTTAGATTGCTTTTCATTCTTGTAAGTAAAGTTTGAGCATATCTCCAGTGAACCAGTGTTTCCATAATTGATGGCTTATTGTGAAGATTCACTTTGTATGTAACACCGGACGAGTCTGAAGGTAGGATGACTTCAGTATGTTGCGGATAATGTCTAGACGTTGAGTTTTTGAAAAGATAGTCAACACAATGTTCCAGTAGTTCAAGCTGTTATGTTGACTTTTGTCTTGTCAATAGTTACGTTAACCAACGGGCTTCCTTAAGCAGACACTCTTCATATTGTCTACATACTCAAATGATTTGACCTTTTTTAATCCACATGGGACGTTTTACAAAAATGTACTTTTTCACACGGAGAATAATCAGATAGGGAATAATGAAGACTTTCAGAATTGTATACAAATTAACTAAAAGTCTTCGCAACTACCGCAAATAGCGGCGAGGAACGAATGCAAAGGTAATGGGAAAGGCATCAGCATTAGGTAAAATATCCTTCATATATCTAGGCTCATCAGGGCAACGTGTTCTAAAAAACTCGTGGTAGGTGAGGTGATCATCGAGATGGAGTGACGTCTGCAACGTTGGGCTGAAGATTTTGAGAATCACTCAACTAGACTACAGCTGGCCACTTTAACTTCGACCTGAATGGGATATGTGTTTTTTTCCTCCAGTTGTAGCTGAGGTTGCAAAAGCTGTTTGTAATCTGAAAAGAGGCAAGGCAGCATGACATGATGGTACTATTTCAAAGGTGTTTAAGTTTAGCGGTGGTGACTTTACATCTAATTTTGCTACAATAGTAGCTAGTGCATGAAGTTCTGAGAAAATCCCAATGGTGTGGTGTTGATTATTGGTCGCAAAAAGGATAATGTCAGTGTGTAAGTTTCTAGGTTACATACTCTTTTGAAAACAAAGTAGGTCTTGAGAATAACAAACGCGAGAGAACCAGGTGAATTTCAGGTACGGACTAGAGTATATTAGTTGTATCTTCACTCTTCGACAGGATCCACGATGTAACACTTACCGTGTTTCCTGACCTGAAGGACGCAGTTCACTCCATAGTTTGAGAGGTGTATGTAGCAATGTCTGGCTTTAAAGGGAGTGTCAAGAAATTATGTTCTAATGATTAAGGCACGCTACTTGGACTCATGTTGCCGTGTAATAGCTTATATGAAGTTGTTATCTGAAGTGGTAGCAACCACTAATATCTTTCCGGGATACCGAATTTTGCCAATTTTATTGTAAGTATACTGGTGGAAGTGACCCTGGCCAATATCGACTTCCGAGGGATTGAATTATTCACAGTCTCATTGACATTTGCCATGCAGATAACTGCTCTTTTAGGTGAATCCTGTGAACGCCTTGAGCAGAAATCTTGATATTTTTGACAGGTAATTCTCATTTGTCAAATGTAAGATAATGCTACAGGAATGGTCCGCACACATTCTTAGTTTAACGGTAAGGAGTGAGACGATTGCATCATTCCTAGCCGGCTAACTGCTGACCAAATCTCAGCATAGATACAGAAGGCTCGTGTGGCATATACCAACTTGCTTCATTCTTGACGTAGACGTGGTATCCAACTGTCGATTAAAGGACTGTGTGTGTACTGCACAGCCGCTCGCTCTGTTCTTCCTTAAGAGACGTAACCATTAGAAAAGGAAGATATGCAATGAATAACCGTTTAGGTAATCCCCAGAAGTCAATCTATGAGGTTTTGATGCGGTATTGATTGAGATGACTGGGAGTTGTGTTACGCGTGCTCAGTCATCGCCTTTCTCGATGAGCAATGCTAGCCAGCAACGGAATTTTGAAATAAATCCAAGGTTTGTTTTTTGCCTTTCATCGTTTGTATCGGAGGGAAATTGACCTGTTGCTTGAATAGCATTGTTCAAGTAAGACGTTGCACAAGAAATGCAAACGTTAGACGGGAAACAGGTAGGTCACCTGGGTATTTTGTAAATCCTCTTTAACCGAGTTAGATGGAATATAAGTTATACATTTTGAGTCGGATGAAAGATATTGACTTCATTCTTCAGCACAACCGGAACTGATGGTTGTAGATTTTACGTGATACGACTCACAATTTTTTTAATATTGTTTTGTGAGTTGATGTGGGATCCCGAAACTTGAACCATTGTACAGCAATGATAGTGGGACACATCAACTAGTTGTCATCATGACTGGATATTACGAAAAAATGGGTTAGTGTGGCGTGTGATACTGACAAGGTTTATCAGTAGTACGTAGACGCAGATTCACAGGAAGTATGCAGAATCGAAAACAAATTTTAAGTCAGTGGTTACAGAAGTAGAAGTGTTTATCCCTCAAATCAGGAAATAGTCCCATTGGACGACTGTTCATCTCAAGGTTTAACCTTCAGAAAATCAACGACCAATCAGAACAGTTTATCATCCGCTGACCTAGCCAACGTTGAATGTGGCTAAAAATGTATAAATATTGTGTGTTTTTCCTTAATACAAAAGTCCGTTACTAAGTCTCATGTTTTCTCCCGTTAAATTAGCATAAACTGGGAAATTGTTGGAATGGTATGCACATAGCCACAAAATATTGGTAATTTTTAAAGAAGTTTAAAGGCGAATGTGTGTATTATACATAAATACTTGTCTTAATACAGGTTTACTTGTCAAATTAACAGAAACCCTAACTTCTTCTCAACAAGGTATCAATGAAAGATGAAAAGTTTAATTTCAGGATTTCGTCATGAACTGACATCAGTTAGAGAACCATTAGAGTACTGGACGGCCGTTTCGTCCTAGTTTGGGGCTCTTCGGCAGTACGCACCCACTGAGGTTCGAACCCAGGACCTTCTGGTTACAAGGCGAGCTCGTAGACCATTAAGCCACTGAGACCCAATCTACTGGCGCATGAATACCAACTTCTACCAATTCATAACTTAGCCCGACCACTAGCCAATGCCATACCTGGTGAGTTTTTGTCCTCACACCCTACCTGCTGTACGCCACAGGTCACGACTTCCCACTAGGACGCAGATAACTACCTACTTGAGTAGGACCAGTCACTAGTGAACATCAGATTGATATTCAGTTTAATTCTTCGATAAAGATATTGGCCACCGGTTTTACTGTAGTTGGTCGTATACATGAGGTCATGTGTCTATGTGTGTGCGTATGCACTGTCGAAGAATCCTAAAATGCAATGAAACAAATTTAGAAGGTGATGGTAACGCAAGTGCTTACCCTGTAACTCCCAAAGTACTTGTTCTCCCGACACCAGAGACAAATCAAAATACCAAACTGACCGCCCAAAATACCTGATATATATATATATATATATATATAGAAACAGAAACCAAGTCAAGCATAAAATACCTTGGAGCAGTTCTATAGTCTGACCTTTCTTGGTCATCCCATACCGTGTTGACTTCTAAGAAAATGTTCCGTCTAACCTTTTACACTAAGAAGTTAAGGCAATCAGGAGTCAACCTCTCCCCCTCCACCTTAGTCTTTGCTGGGCTACCCAAAAAGGACTATGTCGTATCGCGAAGCATATTGAAGGCTGAAGTAGGGCAAGTGGTCACCCCGTTACTGTTGTAGTTGGAAGGTGTGAGAAATGGTCTAAATCCATATTATCTGACTCTCAGCACCCTCCTTATTCACAATTCTCCCCCTGCATCTCGTCAGGTAGGACTAGTAGGTATTATAAAAGTACAAAAACTCAACGACAATCTATTTGACCCGCGTTCTATGTGACAGAGATAGTGTTAGGTGGGAAATTTACGGCCTACTATATAATAGGCAAAATAAATGGCTCTTTGATCTTTTCCTATTTGCAATTTATAGTGACACTATTTCAGTTATCTCACAATTTTATCTATTAACACTATTATCTTTATTATTTTACACTTTTTGTGCATTTTTGACTTTATTGCTACTGCTAATACCAAGAAAGCTGCTATTATCAGTTTTGGTTACCTATACCCTGCAATGATTTTTCGGTTGAGTAAATTAGATGCAATACTGTTCCAAATGCTGAGGATTCCGCGCTGTATCATAAGTACTGTTTCGGAATACAGCAAATTATTAGTATTATTAGACATATTAATACAGAGTACTATTTCTGATTGGACACTAGTCAGTAACTAGTGTAATGTGTCTGGTCCTATCCTTAGTGCAGACTGAACTCTATCAGTCAAGTTTGCAATGTGGCCACTATGAAAGTGGGTGGCTCAACATCATGGTGCACTGTGAACTGTTGGTATTAGATGGTTGGAGGCAATCGGCAGGAAGCCCAGCCTGTCCTAGGTTTCTTACTAGTTGGCACTCGTCAGAAAGGCGTATCTGCGGATTTGAATCTCAGAAGGGACATGAATTCCTTCAAGGTTGCAGATACGCCTTGCTTACTAGTGCCAACTAGCACGAGGTCCAAGGCTTCCTGTCGATTGCCTCCAACCATCTAATACATATTATTTTCATTGGTCGTTTCTGCAAAACAGGAACAAATTACAAGTTTGACCGCGGATTGATACCAGTTAGAGAACCATTGAAAACCAGCAGGGGGTACTGAACATCTGCTTCATCCTAGTTTGGGAATCATCGGCAGTACGCACCCAGAGAGTGGGGTTCCAACCCAGGACCTTCCGCTTACAAGGCAAGCTCGTCCCAGTGGCTGAATGGTATACAAGCTTGCCTTGTAAGCGGAAGGTCCTGGGTTCGAACCCCACTCTGTGGGTGCGTACTGCCGATGATTCCCAAACTAGGATGAAGCAGCTGTCCAGTACTCCCTGCTGGTTTTCAATGGTTCTCTAACTGATATCAATCCGTGCTGAAACTCGTAAAAACAAATCTAATCCTTACAAACCAACTCTTGAAATGTAACAAATTAATTTAGAGAAAATAGTTTTCAAAATAATGGATACTGAACAAAGAATACTCTTTTCGATAACTTCATCATCAGGCTCTACAGTTATATATGCATTAAAGTGAGTGAATGAATTAATGTTATGAACAACATTAATGCTGTTTAAATAACATCGAATCAATAATATTGATAGATTACAGCTCAATAGCATCAACATAACAATAAACTGAATGTCAGAAGAATTAGGAAAGGTAATAGTACAAATTCATGAATTTATAGTCTCTACTGAAGGCCAGGGCAGTAGTAGGGGCTGGACTTGCTTCTTTTGAACACAGAGCACTGGTTGTTTGAGGCGAATTGCAATAGACTCTGCTGTTTGGAGCATGTGGTGCTTCGATGACTTTGGTAATTTTTTAGGCACCCGGTATATTATAGAGAAGGATTCTTCAATGCTGGCTGGCTTTGTGGCCGGTTTGCACCAGATGGTCTAATATCGAGCTGTTAATAGTTTTAACTACACCTTTACTTAGCCATAGTGGGATATGTTCTCGAGCACGAAAAATCAAGTTCCTAGAGCAACGGCCAATATAACTCGCTCCACCACAAGCACAGTTGAATTGGTTGATACAATTTGAAGTGGCTAGTCTAGGTACTTCATCTTTCAGTCGAGGTAGCCCCATTGGTTGTGTGGCGAATAAGACGTGTAGTTCGCCAGCATTAAAAGTTCTTTTGAACTGATTTTCTTAATTTCCTCGTAATTATCTCACTTAGTATATGGCCCTTGAATTGCAGTCGTATATAAAGAGGCTTCTTGTTTACAGATAGTGAGTAGTCCTTTTCCGCTTTCTTTGTCATGTGTTTCTTGATAAATTTGTCGGGATAGCTATTTTCCATCGAAGTATCATATACAATGCTGAATTCATCTTCAATTACTTCTTGTGAGCATATAGCTCTAACTCTGTGGCTGAGGGTCTCTACTAAATTTCTTTTGTACTTGAGAGGAACGAAGCTGTGCAAATGTGTATATTGTTCCGAAAAATGTGGAGCGAGTTATATTGGCCGTTGCTCTAGGAACTTGATTTTTCGTGCTCGATAACATCTCCCACTATGGCTAAGTAAAGGTGTAGTTAAAATCATTAACAGTTCGATATTAGACCATCTGGTGCAAACCGGCCACAAAGCCAGCTAGCATTGAAGAATCCTTCTCTATAATATACCGGGTGCCTAAAAAATTACCAAAATCATCGAAGCACCACATGCTCCAAACAGCAGAGGCTATTGCAATTCGCCTCAAACAACCAGTGCTCTGTGTTCAAAAGAAGCAAGTCCAGCCCCTACTACTGCCCTGGCCTTCAGTAGAGACTATAAATTCATGAATTTGTACTATTACCTTTCCTAATTCTTCTGACATTCAGTTTATTGTTATGTTGATGCTATTGAGCTGTAATCTATCAATATTATTGATTCGATGTTATTTAAACAGCATTAATGTTGTTCATAACATTAATTCATTCACTCACTTTAATGCATATATAACTGTAGAGCCTGATGATGAAGTTATCGAAAAGAGTATTCTTTGTTCAGTATCCATTATTTTGAAAATTTTAGTGGGCATTTTTATTCAGAAAAAATAGTTTACTTGAAATTACAAAGAATATTATCAAACATCAAAGAAGAGAACATTCGAAAATCACAAAAAGAAAATAAAACATATTCTCTGAATACTCCTCCTTCTATCTTTCTTTCTTTCTTCCCTTCTCACTTATCAACTGCATAAAAGGTGTTTAAAAAATTCTCCAACTGTTCAGAAGCATACTCATTATTCTGGGCTTTATAAACAGCCTGTAATATTTTCAATATATCAATTTGTTGTTCATTTCCTAGTCGGCTGTATAAATCATAAGCAGTTGCTTGTAACAGAGTTTTATCATTAGTAGTATACTGCCGTCTTTCAAATAAATCAATTAAGCTTAGCTGTGTTGCATCTCTATCTAAAGATTCTTTCAGTATATGCCTAATCTGTTGATAGGCCATATCGATTTCTCCTAATTTTAAATAAGCTTTACTAAGTAGTATATTCAATCTAACCATAATTATTGTCTTACAATGTTCAGGTTCGTATTCATTTGTCAGGTATTTTAAACAGACTTTACTTAATTCTATTGTCTCAGTGTATTTCTGATTGCACAACAAAATATCGGCTAAATCAATTTCATATTGTATTATCTCCTTAGAATTCTTATCCTCTGTGGTGGATTTTTTAATCATAATAGCACGTTTCAAATGTTTCTCTGCTGTCTTATAATTACCCAGTTCAACATATTCATGTGTCAGTTGTCGTAAAATATCCACTAGACACGTGTGCTCTTTACCAACTTTCATTTCAAATATTTTCAATGCATCCTCTATGCTTGTTATAGCTTCTAGGTGTCTTTTCTGTTGACTTAACACAACACCAAGTAGTAGATTGATAACACCAAAGTCGATTGGTGTTAATTCACTCGCTTTTGATCGATCCTGCAATAATTGTGTACACATAACTGTAGCGATATCTAAACGTCCTTCGTTAATATATTTAATAGTCAGACGATATAGCGCCTTCATTTTCACTGAAATTATCTTTTTAATGAAATCGTCGTTGAATAGACCAATAGGCTTAGGTGAATTTGACTCTGTAAGACACTTGCATTGATCCCCAGTGTTAGTATTGTGAGCACTATTGTTGTCAGCATTTTTACGCATTTTATATTTATAATGTTGTAAAATACGTTGAGCTTCGCACTCTTTAATACTTTCATTCAATTTATTTAATTTATTATTTAATATATTGTATTCATTAGATAACCAAAGATTTTCTTCAATTAAACGTTTATACTGTAGGCTTAAACGTGTCTGTTCACATTCATACTTTTCTGTATAGCTGATTATTTCATACATTAAATCAATATTACTATAAATGCATACATCTAATTGATTTTTTATTAAATTATTCAATTGAAAATTATCCCATGTGCTTAATTTATTCTGTATTGTATTAATATTAGATAGTTGATTTAAAAAATCCTTATGATAATAATTATTTTTATGATTTAATGATGTTAATTTTAGGTGTAAATTTTTTAATTCTATTAAATATTCTTCGTTTATGATATTGATACCATTGAATTTATCACCTTGACATGAAGAGGGATTTATTAATATGTTGGAATTATGAATAGGTGAAGATACAGTAGAAGTAAGAGGAGATGTTATTGTATTGATTGTATCACTTTCAATAGAGTTGACATTACAATGATTGATATGGTTATCGTCAGTAGTTGCATTGTCAATGCAATTGTTGCTTGTATCATTGGTAAGTATTGTAGCACTAGTGTTATTAGTAGTATTATGAGTTTCTTCAGTTGGTTCAGTCATTGTTTGAGTGTGGAAGTGCATATTATTTAATTCTAATGTATATTCAATATAGTATCGATCGAAAAATCAATTAATATATTAAATATATATAAATATCTCACTAATGGGAGGAATTTGAAGGAGGCCATTTCTTTCACTAACTTACCTAGGTAGGATCACTTCAACTAAAGGCGGCATGGATAAGGATGTCACAGTCAGTTAAGATTGGGAAAGAAAAACACACCTTCATTAATCTGAAGTCAGTTGGGAAGTCTGTTACAATGAGCATAAAGAACAAGAGGCCAAGTTAAACTTTAAGCACCACTAGCTACCAATCAACGAATGACCTTGAATGGTCCAATCAGTTTCATCCACGTGAGTTGAAGGTTCTATTCCGCTTGATTCGAGTCAAAGGCCTGCTGTAACGCTTGCAGTTTGGTGGGGATAAGGCTTTCCAGTATTGCTTGGATGTGGGGTTGCTTAGGAAGGAGAGGATTTGTTCATGTGGAGGTGTCACGAGTATAAAAAGCTTCAGCAGGTTGATTGATGGATATGTGCATCGTTGTGCAATTCGCTTGAAACTAGTTAGTGTGAGGGGAGGTAACCTGATGATTCTGATATTTCTTAGGCATAGATTTGTCCAGGTCCCATCTTTCCTTAACCCAGATTTTGTATATTTGTAATTAGTGGGTTTCAAAACAGCCTGTGAGAGCTGCAGCTGCTGAAACTGGAAATAGCCTCAGATCAACAGTTCAGTGGTACCAGCACTGCAGAGACATCGCGTCACGGAAAACGGAGAGAATTACTTCGTTATTAGGAGGAGGAGAAGGTTTCGTCGTACCCGTGGACGAAACTGTCTTAATGAAGAAAAATATAACCGTGATCGTGATCTAGGAAACAATGTTTGGGTGATCGGCTTAGATAACACCTTCCTACAGAAAGGATTCGTTGAGAGAACAGCAGACAGAGGGTCAACTACCTTACTACATATTATCACTCAACTGGTGAAACAGGGATCTATAATACACACCAATGAGTGGAAAGGTTATAACTTCCTGTCATCCCTTGGATATATTCATCACAGAGTGAACCATTCTAATGATTTTGTGCATCCTATTACAGGGACACACCAGTTCTCTAGAAGGCTTTTCGGGAAGATTAGAAAACAGGATTAGGGCTATAATTGTATCTCAAAAGGATGTCATTTATAGTCATTAAGATGGATATATGTTTAGGATGTGGTTTAACTTTTCAACTGACACTTCTATGCCAAAACGGGAGATGTTTTTTTTACACGTGAGAGAAAGATACCCTATGTAACGGTTTTATGCATTTTTTTCATAAATATATGTTTTCCATAACCAAAAGTGACTCTTTCGTGTGATTGGTCCCTTGAAGGTCGTTCGCTGATTGGTAGCTAGTGGTGTTTAAAGTTTAACCTTGCCGAACAAGATTCGGATTTTCAACAATAATAGAAGTCCGTCAGTGCTTCTGTGTGGTTCAGAGACTTGACTTATGCGTTACGAGAAGCATTATCAACAAGTGAATATAAACTTTCATCAATAGCTACCTTTGCCTCATATTGAAGATGAGATGGGTAGGTAGGATTAGCATACAGACAGTCATGGACATCAATTCGACTGGGACAACATTCAAATACTAGACAGAGGAAACATCAAGAATGCCAGAGAATTTTAGAAGCCTGGTATTCCATTGAATCGGCAATTCACTAACAGCCACATTGACATAGTGAAAATTTACCAGTCGATAAGGAGGAAATCTCACACACAAAGGGTCAAACTTCAGGTTAAGCAAACAGTCAATACCAATACAAGTAGCCTAGAAGGTGTGAAAACACACAAAAACAACCAATCACGTTCAAGGTCACCCACCAGGAGAGATGACTAATAAACTCGTGGAGAAATCTAAAAGCTCACTTCAATGAATTGAAGTATGCGCTAAAGATGTTTCCTAGTAGGGCAATGAAAGCTTCGCAAACTGACTATCCACCTCAGAGAACACAACTACATCAAGATATGTAACAGGAGAATATAAGAGACTCGGTAACGGACCTTTATTAATTAGTGAAAAACACATCATATTTATACATTCTTAGTCGCATTAAAGTTCAGCTAGGTCAGAAGAGAATAAATTGTTCTGATTGGTTGGCGACTGACCCAGGGTTAAATAAGTTGTCCAATGAGGTTATCGCATATCCACTAAGTGCAAATTAAATCCAGATTTGAGGAATAAACACACTTCTAAGCCTGCAGCAATTGACTTAAAATTTTGATTTCAATTTTGGCCACTTCCTATCACAATCTACATCACACTACGAACAAGAATGAACAACGTGTTGGCCTGTAACTCAGGGGATTTATTTATTTAATAGAAATTAAGCAAAAATATACAAATTTTGTGACTTTCACAAAATTGAATTATAAAAGATGTTTCATTCACTATTCTCTAAATACAAGTTTAACAATAAATAAGGAGTGAACTAAGCACTTGGTGAATACTGTTACCATTATACATTATTACAAAGAATTATGGAATACAAAAGTTTAAACATTTGACAATTTAAAATTTAGTCATTCCTAGCTCATTTCATCACACATAGATAGATAGATAGATAGATAGCAGGTTTATCGGTCAAAACCCTATCGAAATGTAGTACTTCCTCAGGCGGGAAATTTTGTTTTCGGACCACTGACACATGTATCATGATAGAAAAGAGCTTAAAAAAAACCAAAGATATTTCTTTTTACAGTCTACTAAATACGGAATTAAAATTGACTAAATTGTTTGGGTTTGAAAAGTTGGCTGAACAGCCTCGATTGCATCATCATCAGTAATGCCAGTAGTGGTGATAGTAATAAAACCATAAGGGAGGGAGATAAGTATAACACATTCTTTTACTAGAATAAAAATAGTTAATTTTTTTGTTTTAATTTTTGACAATTTATGCGCCTGATTTAACCTTCAGATTTATTATTATGTGAATTTGTATTGTACAACACATTGGTATTAGATACTGATGCCTTACTGTTAGATACAAGTGAGGCGTTGTCATTCGCTGTCGTTGTCGTGGTCGGATTTATACCCGACTTATTATTGTCTCTGGATAAAATTTCTGTCGAATTTTCTTCTATTGCTTTCATGCCTTCTTCACTATTTGTACTGTGTGTTGTTGGAGCGGTGTGTTGTGAATTTGAAAGCTTCCCTGTTGCAAATGATGCTAGCATGCTTGGATTCACTGATGTATCTGATTGTATTTGACCTGAATAAGTGTATATTTGACTGGAAGTAGACGGACATGTTGTGGATCCTGTGGCTTTATTGTCACCTGGTTTATTATTATTATTATTGTTATTATTATTACTATTCCCCGATGGTTGAAGAGAAATATAATGATTTTGGGCATTTGGATCTGTAGGTAGGTTTACAAGATTTGAGAAACTAGAATTTATTGGCTGTGACATATTATTTTGTTTGATGCTTTGAATATGCGTCAGATGACCATGCATACCTGAAGCATCCAGCATACTGCCATTTGGACTATGACTCAGTGATCCTGCAGCTACATCGTCGTATACAACATGTGGATGTTGAACTCGAATTATATACTGGGGGTAAGAATGAATATCACCTTGTCCAATATAACGTACAGCAGTTTGTGGAGAATAACCATAGTTATTTACTGCTACCCTACGACTAAGATTCGGTGACGGTGTATTCAACGATGGTGCACGAATATATGTTGGTGTTAAATTAACAAATTTATTATTATTATTATCTTCATCAATCATTGCAGTGAAGGCAGTCAGGTTGTGATTTTCTGGATCTATAGGTTGTGGATGGTGGATAAGTCCACCACTGTGCGGTTGTGGTGTATTCACATTTCTAAGATTTGGCATACCATGTTTTCTGAATGTACCTGGCAGAGAATTTGTAGGTATATAGCCTGGACTCAAATTCTCCTTATACGGTGAACCATTATTATAAAGTAATGGTACTTTTTGTAGCGCAGATAAACTGTAAGAGGAATTGAATCCTGCAGGTTCTGAACCATTCATTCGGACATGATGATTCATTTGTGGTGTCATATTGGTACGAGGCAGAATCGGTGTGGTCATTATCATAGAACCTTTTCTCATTTCCTCTGGTAAGCATAGACAAGCGGCTAGACAGTTAGTCTTACTTGATCCCTCATTGGAAGCATCTGAGTTGTAAAAACAAAAGGCAAACAAAATGACATAAGAATTATTGATGTGAGCTTCATCTGAATTAGTAAATATTTAAAAATCAGTGCTTTGTACATAGTAAATATCCTTGAGAATGAAACCAAACTACAAAGATGTTTTTTTGTCTCAGACTCACAGTTATCGACTAAAATTCAAAAGGTCTAGATGCTATAGACCAGCTGACTGAGTTTCAATATAGAACTTCACACCGTAGTACAGTAGTTCAAGTTGCTACACTCCATTTCGCACACAAACGCAGAAAAAAAGATTCATGAGGATAATAAGCAGATGTGTGCGGAAGAAAGAATGTAAACATGAAAAAAACATGACGGTTTAATGGATATGGGAGATTAAAGAGAGTGAATGCATCTGCGCTGCCATTGAGAACGACTTTGAGCCATTTCTCCAGCCACTGGTTCTTAGAATCCCGAGGACTCCAACCAGAGAGTCTACACCTCCCTGCGTGGTTGAAACCAGCTGTTAGAGATTTCATCGACTAGTACCAAGTCTTGATTTGACCAACTCTAACTCTTTTCCAACCCGACCCTGGGTCAGGTAACAGTGCCAGTCGAAGAAGGCGATGGTGAGGAATGCGTAACATATGTCCTAGTCATTCCAATCGGCTTAGCTTCACAACCGCGTCGATTGACTTTTCATCCTTACTTAACACTCGACGCCTAACCTCAATATTACTTACTCTATTATATCACCTAACACGGGAAATAGAACACGGACACCTATGATCAAAGACAGCTAGCCTTTTCATATCTTCCACTTCTAATGGTCATGTCTCACAGCGGTAAAGGAGGGCACTTCTTTAGGTGATAGTTGGATATCACGCCTACACCGGAGATGGCGCAAGGTGGGGAATAGAACACAAGCCTTTTGTATTCGTGCTGGAATTTTGTCAGAAATCAGTTCATTGTGGCTGATTCAAATTCCTAAATAGGTGAAGTGGTCAACACGCTCTATCAATTCACTCCCTATCTTTAAGCTACGAGTCAGTGCATCATTATACTATGCTTGACAGCAGCAAATCTCATGCCAAATATTTATAGATTTCTGCTCAAGGTGTTCGAAAGACTCTGCATTTTATCAGCATCTCCATCTAAGAGGACAGTGTCACTGGCATACTCTAAGTCTATAAGACTTCCATAGTAACAAGTCAATTCCTAAGTCAGTAAAGTCAGTTAGAGTCAATTGTATTAGTACACATATGGTGGGATTCAACACAAATGAAGACAGTGTGCATCTCTGATATACATCACTGGTTGTCATTACTTCAGATGAAAACCCTTCATAAGCTCTTACACAGCTGCATGCATTCAAGTGCAGTACCTTGATCAATGCGATATACTTTCTTGGTACTTCCGTCACAGCCATGAAGATATAGACAGTCACTTACATGTATGGTTCTTCGAAACTAACAAATGACGTAAGACTATATTACAGAGATTCGTTCCTGACGGTGTTGAAAAACGTCTTTTGCTCAATACTTCATTGATGAGGCGCGAAATAACCTAATTAATCAGACAAATTCATGTCTTTTGTATTACTTAAATGCAACACAATACAGGTGAGATTTTGGACACATAATTGATATATTGTAATACTCCATCATATATTGCCAGATATAATTTATACGATGTGAACATACGCCCTCATGTACCCTGTAGAACAGCAATCACTGGCTGATTTGAGCTCATCTGTTTATCTCAGTTACACGATAGGGGAATAGTGAAGATAATAAGAAAGAGTTTGATTAAAAATGTCAGTTTCTGTACCTACTGGTGATATATAGACCTAATTTTCTACTTGTCATTTTTACATGTCTGTTTGTATTTTGCTTTTACGAGTTTGACCACGGATTGATATCAGTTAGAGAACCATTGAAAAACAGCAGACAGTACTGGACAGCTGTTTCATCCTACTAGTTTGGGAATCATTGGCAGTACGAACCCGCTGGGGTTTCGAACCTATTAGCTGAATAGTATACGAGCTTGTCTTGTAAGCGGAAGGTCCTGGGTTCGAACTCCACTCTGTGGGTGCGTACTGCCGATGATTCCCAAACTAGGAGGAAACAGCTGTCTGGCAGTCCTTCCTGCTGGTTTTCAATGGTTCTCTAATTGATATCAGTCCTTAGTCAAACTTGTAAAAACAAGTCGTTATTTTGCCATCACTGCCTGTAAACCTGATGATATTGAGAAAAAGTGAAAATTAACAGTTTAAAACAGTTCAAACTATGACTAAACTATTCAATAGACTGTCATTTTGTAACAGTTGATTTGTACAAAAGTTTCCGGTGGAAGTAGATAAAAATAGGAATGAAAGTTTAGATTTAAACTGAAAATTATAAGCTAACCTCTACTTACTTACCAATATATGAGCGTAAAAGTAAACATCTAATACAGAATGCAAGATTGATAAGGATGGACAAAGCGAGAACTGCCAATATAGTAAACAGTATTTCTGGCCTTCTCATTTGAGCCACTAAATCAAAGAAAAACAAAGAAAAGTAAAAGCAAAAAGTTTTTAAAAAATTCATGCAAATGGTAGTGTTGTTTTGATAGGCTGTTTGAAGAAGGCTTGAATTCACATTGAAGTAAGCACTGAACATGTTGTCTATAGGGATAATGAAAACTTCGATATTAAATCACCCAGTTCAGAGGACGTAGTCACATCAAAAACGCCTACCTCAGTTGCAGATCTTCTTCATCACTTAAGAAGCCTTGGCTGTACTAGTTGTTAAGCTCATCGACTTTGTTCACCGAGACGTTTATGAAATTCTAGATGATAATTGTCTTCTCTAGGGTTTGAACATGTGTCAACTTATGTTATTGCTGAAAGTAGTAAGGTTTTCAACTAGCTGGTATTCCTTTGCGTTCCGGGTGGAACATAGGGCTTCAAACTTGAAGGTCTCTGAGGTTTCAGTAGCAGTGGTAATTTCTTATGGGGTGGGGTTGCTAGCCTCACGCCCAAACTCTCCTATCTTTGTTGAACTTACGACCAGCTAGGGGAGGTAAGGATGTGTGCCAGCTGGGAATCGAACTCCGGACCACATGCATGGTTGGCGAGCATCCTACCGCTGCGCCACCGACGCTTACACCGGCCTCGGTAGAGCTAAATACAATACTGCGGCTGCATCCTATTGTATATTCTTTAACATGCTCTTTTTAGATTTTTTGGTTGTTTAATTTCACCAGAAATAGATCTTGGTATTTTAATCTAACTTAACTAATTGTTAATTTCAGTGGATAAAAACCTGTCTAATACTCTCTTACAACTTTCATAGTATTTTGAGGTTGATATTAGACAATGTTTCGTATATTACCATCAAATGTTCCTTCATATAGTAAATTTATTTGATAGAATCTCGGTATTATACAGTATTATTTACTAATGGTGTTTTAGGTACAATTTATTCATGTCAAGGGACTCATATAACTTCCGAACTTCGTTTATATGATCGCATTGTTTCTTATCCTTTGACTTGATTAGTAATAATATTCTCCATATCTCTAGTAGTGGTGTTAAGTCATTCCTATTGCACATGTTAGGTGTAAATTCGGTGAATACAGATTCAGTAATCAACCTTCCCCTCCCTACCTGCCTACATTACTTTCAAGAACTGTAAATCTATTCCGCCCCATTGTGTGATTGTGTATTAATGATGAATGCATCGCAATTGATGAGTCAAATTTTTAAATTATGCATCTTCCTGGGATCAGTCATCCTTATGATCACAAGTAAAGGTGTCGTCCATACATCTCTTATACAAATGCAAGCTCGAGAGAGTTTCTTTTAATGGACCATTTTTAAAGCTAGGCATGAAGACATCCTCTAGGAAAGGTCCTAAAGGAGACCTCTTGGTGACTCCACCCCTAAGCTTTTCACTATCGAAGAGGAGTCGATTTAACGTAAATCCCTGTGTTCAAATAATCTGACTACCCCCAGTCTATTGATATGACCTAAGTATTTGTTGACTTCATAGTCATTGCAAGGCATACTGTGGATTAAGTGATTTTGTTTAATTGGGTCAATAGGGTACTTTAGCCTACAAAGCTGTATTTTCCCTGAGTGAGCCTTATGGGTTTAAACGCAACCCTAATTCCTGCTTTATTAAGAATCCTACGTAGGATCTCATATGTCCCCTTGTTATATGGTAAAACAGTAGATGCCTTATATTCTTTCTTATTTATGTTATCCTTATTACTTTCAATATTTTTATTTTGACCTTTTCTGATCTTCCACATGAATTTTATAGGATAGTTAGTTACTTAACAGCAACGCTTCTGCTGTCTGTTTCACCATTTAGGTTTCCTGATGTACTGCTTAGAGTGTTTGCTTAGTTTGTTAGACACCTAACTAAGCTTGCCTTTACGGATAATGGGTGAGATGAATTAAAGTCTAAATATCTATTAGCAGAATGCGTTGGTTTTTTATAAAAGCTAGTGAATAGTTTATCTTCTCCTGTTTGTTTTATTTTATGACCTAACATAGCTGATTCTCCTTGTTCCGAGTCAAACGTAAATTTTACTCCCTCTAGCACTGAGTTATGTGTATGAAGAGACTAGAGGTACATTCTGCTTTTAACAATGTAACAGTGTCATCCACATATCTTTGCAGTAAGACTAAATGTATTAGGAGCTTTAATTTCTCAAGTATCCATAAAGATGTCTGCTACGGTTGGAGATAGTGGTGACTCCCTTCCTACCCCTTCTGTTTGTCTATACATTTCTTCCTGGAATTTGAAGTTGGTGGATGTGAGGCGTAACTAAATTCGTAAAATATACTTACGTAACAATAGTAATCAATGTGGCTTTGGAAGGAGTTTGGAAAGAAATAACTGCTAATCTTGAAATTATACATAATACAAAGCTGTCCATTGAAGAAGTTATTCCAGGAATGCCTGAAAAAAACACTTTATACATATGTCGAGTGAAAGTTTAAGCTGCTTTCCTAGTATACAACAGAGAATCTACTCATATTCATCAGTGAGAAACACTGCTTTCACTCAAAATTTTTCAGTTTGAAAATCTCTTAAATGTTCTCAACTTTTACCTACTTTCAGAGGTATTCATATCCATCTTTTATGTTGAAGTATTATTTCATGCATTTTATGGCATTTCCTGATAACGCTGAAATTCAAAATCGGATGATTTGAACTGATTCGATTCTCTAGTCTCAGTCATACTGGGTACACAGATGACGAGCTTTGCTTCGAAGTAGCGAAACGGCCACTCAGTGTTTAGATCTGGATGTGTAGCAAGTACTACTGGTTGATGTGTGCGGTATACAACTACTCATCTCAATGAATCAGTAGTATATAGTTTTATGCGAAAATACCCGCTTTCTTGATTACTATTTATGGTATCAAACAAATGACTTCCTGTGAAGTGAACAATCTCCAGTTTCCAAAGTAAACTGTGTAAATTGCTAATTAATTTGCAAATTGAGAGTTTGAAATTCAAGAATTCCACCTGGAAATGACTTTTAGAGACTCGTTAAAAGTTTGAATCTACTTCATATTCTATTAAGAGTAGTAAATTCAAGTCAGCTAATTTAAAGTGAGTACCTAAATGAAACAGAGGACACATTTAAGGGTTATTTATCACAGAGAAAGAAAACACATCGCTGATTTGTTAGATGCGAACACTTTTCCCACCTGAGAATTTTATAGCTATAGAAATATTTGATGAAATTACTGCTGACTTACAGATGCATTAAGACTAATTCATACTGAGAGATATAAGGATGGTCAAGTGGGGTACAGGCAGGTGACCAGCCCATCAGAAGGAGAAACTAACTTCTCAACTTTAATATAAGGTCTGTAGGCAATAATTTGTTTTATTCAATGTTAGGTAAACCAACTGGATATTTGGCGGTGGTACATCCAAATGACTGACATAACTAGCTAGAAAGCGCTCACGTAAAACATCAGTGCCTGCTAGTTATATCGAAGTGATTTTAATTTTAGATAGTTATTTTACTCGTTTAAATCCAGTTTATCAGTAACACGTCTAGTTGCCTAAGTTCAGAGAGCTGAGTCACAGTTTAAACTACTAGAATTCAGGCTAGCTACCTTGGTAAACTGGTAATACATATAACTGAATTGGCTACTTGCAAATTTCCGGCAGCAACTCTAAGAGTGATATTCTCTATCCGCCCACTACTTCGGAGCAACGGGAAGGACAGACTTCCGCATATGACCACTTCAATGTGCATATATCAGTTCACCTGCTCTTGCGGAGATATTTACATAGGTGGTTCTATGCGGGTCTTATCAAAACGTGTCAGAGAACATCATCCAGCATGGCTGCAAAGAGGAGGAACTGGTTCAATCAGAAGCGCCATAACTGAACACCTCGTCAATACCTGTCGCAGCATCTCAACTGACTCATCATTCAGAGTCATTTACAAAGTAAACAAAAAATCTACCAAAGGCAATGTGTTTCCGACTTCAAAAGAAACTAGTCCAGTCTTTACAACTACCATGGACCTAGTTCGGTAGGTTCCCTTATCCTTCAGTTTTTTTTGTTTTCTTCTCTGTGTGTGTAATTTTCTCTCTTTGTCTTCATTCAATTCATCCCTTTTTTCACTTATAAAATCAGTTATTTTAAGTTTGTTTCCATGCTCCTCCTGATCACACTTGTAATCCGTTTAGAATAACCATTTTACAATTATATTCTAATCCTGTGTAATTTTTGTTTCTATGCCTCTTGTAATCTATATTCACACCTCCTAACTTACATTTCAAGTTGAAAATTATTATTTCAATTTGTTTCCATGCTCATTTTGTTCACACCTGTAATTCGCTCTATCCCTGCGTAACTTTTGTCTCTAAGCCTCTTGTAATTAATATCAAGTTGAAAATAATTGTCACATTTTATTCACCTCTAAAATCATTTCTCCAGTTACCAAATATTAATTTTGTCCACCTTATAACTTTTCTAATCCTATGCAATCTTGTCTCTAAGCCCCTTGTAATTTATATTCGTACCTTCAAACTTTCATATAAAGTTGAAAATTACTATCTTCCTCGTTACTATGTGAAATTAAACAAATAATAGTTGTATCCATGTAAACTAATCTATATAAATGCGATTGTACAGCTTTTGAGAATGAAATCGCCGAAAAGATATCTTTGCTGAACTTCTTATTCTTTTCAACTTGCAAATTACACTACTCATATCAACCAGTAGTATTATGCCATAATATTTTTTGTGTTTTTGCTTTTTTGATCTTCATTCATGGCATTAGACAGATCACATACTGAGATGAAGAGGACCTACTGTTGTGAAGGTTGTAAGGGTACTTTCGCATTTCTCGTTACCGTAGAATTTACGGTCTTAAAAATATAGTTACTGCCCCAATGCATGTTGAAATATGAATCCTATATGCATTGAAAAACAGCGATTAGGTAGATGTACACAAAAAGGAATAAATAGTGGATGTTTTAAGGGTACATATTTTTCTTGTCGATAATTTTT